CTTAATCTTAATTTTTGTTCTAAGATTTATACTGTATCTTTGACTTACACTTTATTTAAAAGACATTGTATGATATCTTCTCCTAGTATTAGAAACTATAAAAAGTATTTCCATTTTCTGTTGACTTTATATTACTTCTTTCCTGTCTTTTATACATGCATACACACACATATATGGGGGGAAAATGCATGTATAAGCCAACATAAGATTGGTACTGTTTCATAGAAATCTGGAATGACCTTTAAATAAGGGTTCATCTAATATATATTTTTATATAGTCCTGTATAACTATCATATTGAGAGCTCTTTATTGTTCGTCCAGGAGCACACTGCAACTTCTCTTGCCTTTTGAATTATGCTCTTTGTTATTTCCTATGTGCTACTTCTGGAGATATTAAAATATTTCAAGTTTGTATAACAAAAGAAAAAGAAAGAAAAAAAAAGGACTAGAGATGTAGGTGAGTGGGAAAACCCTGAGTTCAGTCCCTAGTATGGAAGAAAGAAAGAAAGAAAGAAAGAAAGAAAGAAAGAAAGAAAGAAAGAAAGAAAGAAAGAAAGAAAGAAAGGAAGGAAGGAAGGAGAAAAGAAACAGTCCATGAAATTGTAAGCAAAATTGTGTACACATAGTTATATGAATTGAATTTGTCTTTGGGGGAAATTCCAGAATTATCATTAGATTCTCAGAGATATTTGCAATCTCCCTCCATCTTCTTCCCTTGTCCTATAATTATAGAGCCCCTGATGTCTCCTTGGAGATCTAAACCAAGAAGAAATGCTTGAACATGAAGCTACCGTTCATATTGTATTACTTTACATGCAATAAGAAGATCACTTCTGTACCCACACATGATCAACCAAGAGAAATTCAAAATCTAGATATAAATTCTTCATTAGAAATGCATACATCTGGGGCCAGGGAGGCAGCTTAGTAGAATAAGCGTTTCCCTGGCAAGCGCAAGGGCATGAGTCCAATCCCTTGTTCTGCCAAAAAAGAAAGAAA